GTTCCCCGCTTCTCCAGCAGAGGGCGCAGGCGCGAAGGTTCCGCCTGGCCCCGCCCCAGGAGTAGGGGCGGGGGAGGCGGCGCGGAAACTTGGCACCCGCATTCCCGCAGCTCTTGGCTCGGGCGTGGGTGGCGCAGGAGGGGTCGCTACCTAGGCCAGACGAGGCCGCCCGCTTCCCCGAGCTCCGCGCGCTCCTCCCGCCCGCGGGCTCGCGCTCTCTGAAGGGGTGCGCCCGCGCGGACCCGCGCTCCCGGCGCCGCCCACTTCCCTCCCTGCGGCCGCCCCTCCCTCCGCCCGGAGAGCCGGCGGCAGCGGCCGGGAGAGGCCCCTCCTTCACGCCCTCCTTCCCCTCGCTCAGAGCCGGCGGACGCGGCTGGGCCCCCAACCCTCCCCGGGCTATGGCCGGCAACGTGAAAAAGGGCTCTGGGGCCGGGGGCGGCGGCGGCGCCGGGGGCTCGGGCTCGGGTGGCCTGATCGGGCTCATGAAGGACGCCTTCCAGCCGCACCACCACCACCACCACCTCAGCCCCCACCCGCCGGGGACCGTGGACAAGAAGATGGTGGAGAAGTGCTGGAAGCTCATGGACAAGGTGAAAGGCCTGCCGAGAACCCGCTGCTGCAGGGGTGGGCGTGGGCGGAGGGGCTGAGGGAGGGGAAGGAAGGGACAGAGGAAGCTGGGGGAGGGGACGGGTCATGCGAGGCTGGGGAGGCGAGGAGCTGGGGTGACGGGGCCGAAGGGTGGGGGCCTTGGGGCTGGGGAAGAGGCTGGGAAGGTGGGGGTCGGCGGTCGGGGAAGGGCTGCAGTTGGGAATGGGGGGACCTGAGGTGGCGTGTTTGGGGTAGCGAGACAAAGATGAGGTGGGGGCTGGGGTGAAGGTTAACTGGGAAGCCACCGGGGCGGAAGTATAATGGGGGGTGCCGAGTGTGGGGCTCGGTGCAGAGTTATAGGGATGTCGGTCACGGAACTGGACCCGGGAGATAGGAGGGTTGGGGGTGAGGAGGAGTGTTTGATTCACCGGCTGGGGCTGTCCGCTGGATGGGGAGTCCGGCTCCGACCAGGGAATTACGTTTATGGGCTCTGATTGAGACCTGGGGTCAGGACAACTCCGCGGGCGAACTGCGCTCCGGGTGAGCGTCTAGTTTTTCTCATCAAGATGCAACACCAAGATAAAAGAAATAGGGATGTTTAAGTTGTTGAGAAAAGAACTTACCTCCTCATCTTGCGCTGGCTCAAGTTTTTATCATCCAAAACATTGGATGTGATCCATTGCTGGTGCTGAGATATGCACTGATTCAACCACAAGTTCTGGTTAGAACCATTATCTTCTGAAAGATGTATTGACTGAGTATGCTAAGCAGCGGATTCTGACTTCTTCCAGAACTTCCTCCTCGCACACTCTGCTTTTAGCTGGGTTCTACTTTTTTTCTAACGGACCTGACTCGTTTAATACAGGACTTGACTTTAAGCTTGTTCGATGAACTTCTTTGATTGTCTTTTTTTTTTTTTAAGCAAGTGTGAAAAAATAAGGCCTTTGTATTTAGCCACTTTAAGTTTGACATTTGGGAGAAGTTTACTGCGTTATAGTTGTGTCTATATGATGAAATATAGTAGTTAGTCCCAAGTACTTAAAAGTGTTTAAGCAGTCTAATGATTTGTCCCAGAGAATTCAATATTTCCTTGATATTTTTTACGTTAATTAATAACTTATTTTTGCAAAATTCATACTGCGGCTGAAAAGTGATTAGAAGGGTCTGGCATATTGTAAGAGAATGGTGTTTTTTCCTCCAGAGTAAAATTGGTTTTCTCTGGGTCTAGGTTCCTCGTCTGTAAAATTTTTCATGGATTGTTTTGGGTTAGAAACAGCTAATAAAAATTATTATGAAGCACTTGGCAAGTGTAAATATGCTGTTTAAATGCTTAATAAGTCCTGTGTGTGAATTAGCACTCCTGTAGTGTGTACCAGTGCTTTCTGAGCCACTTTTTCAGGGCTGGTTTTTCTCATGGTAAATAATCGGTGTTGTAAGTAATGATACAAATATTTGTATGTTGATTATGTTGGTATTGTAGTGCTATTTCATTATTAGAAATTGTAATAAAACCGTTACAGAAATTTAGGCATGTAAAGGAAACTTTAAATGAATTGACATCTTTTAAAAAATATATTGGATGTATTCAAAATCTGAAGTTTGTAGGTTTGCATTTTAGGGATTTACAGTGGTGGACTAAAAAGGTTCTCCTGGAATAGAAAAATACTTGCATTTCTTATTAGTTTCTCATATAAGACGTGTATGCAGTCTTATCAAAATTGTATTGATTAGAGACCTCTCCTTAAAAAATAAAGTTTTTATCAAACTTTTAGTCTCTGTAAGGTAATCCAAATAAGATCCCACCTTAAGTCTTACTCCTTCATCTCTTTAAAGTATGTGTATTGAATTTTGATTTTTTTGTGCAGACCGTTTAATTATTTGGGAAGAATAAGGAGGACTCAGAGTTTTGAGTCAGAATGCTTTTCAGGTTTTGATAGTTTCAAGGAAAGTAGACTTTCAGCTTTTCCATTCTAGTTTAGGAAGAGGGATGTTTTATTCTTGTGTTGCTTGTCTTGGAAGATGATTTTTCTGTGCTCTGTATCACAGGTTACTAGTTGTGCGGAAATGAAAACTTCAGTTCTTCTTTCTGATGTATTAGTCCCATAGGCTCATACTACTTTCCAGATTTTCTGAATACTTCTGTGGTGGTGTTAATTGCACCATCACTTTTACTCTTGATGTTTTGAGCGTAGATGTTCTCTTTTTTCACTTCATTTTTATTGTTGCAAGTCTTAAATGTGTCACGAAACCTTCATGTGGTATAAGTGAAGAACTTAACTGTCAAATCTACAAATGTCCCACACGTTTATTGAATTTAGTTCTAAGTCACTGTCTCTTACCTGTTTTATACTTGTAGTTGAAGCTAGATGGATGTTATTTCAGCCTATTATTAATTGGTTTATTGATTTAGCACTGGGAACTGTTAGTCTCCTCCTCTCCCCCAATATTGAATGTATGCAGATGGAGAAGTTGGCATAAGTCATGGGTTCTGGTCAACATAGACCCAATTTACTAATCCATTGTGGAATTTAAACTCATTGTTGGAAAAATGCTTGTGCTAGAATGCTTGTTATTAAACAAAAGGCATGGTCTCCCTCTAGTTTTGTTTTCCACCCTAGCATATTGTAATGAATATTCGTGTAAAGACTTACATGTGAAGAAAGTGGCTAGTAAGTAGAGACAACTGGGCTGGGGAGTGGAGAGAGAAATCTTATAAATTGCCTTAAATCTAAATTTAGAAGTGTCAAGGTATTTAATTTAGTGAGAGACTCAAAGTTCCATTATGAAGTAAAGCAGGAGTTGGATACTTTTTCTGTCGGGACAGTTAGCAAATATTTTAGGCTTTGCTGGCCACGTACTCCGTTCCATATTCTTTGTTGTTTTTACAACTCTTTAAAAATGTGAAAGCCATTCTTAGCTTGCAGGTGTACAAAAAAGGCTGTAGGCTGTAGTTTGCCCACCTCTGAAGTAGAGCATCATGGTGGCAGTATTTTAGGTCCATACTATGTTTTTGTTTTAAATTAGCTTACATTATTAAAAAGATTAAGGTGTTGATTTATTTAATGGGATGTAATTTATTGGAAAAATGCTTCCCTTTAAAGCATAAGTTTAAAAATGTATTTTCAAAAGGTGATGCTTCTTCCTTCTGCCACCTACCTTCTCCTGCTTGCCCGACCGCCACCCCCACCCCAAAAAAGCACCTTGAGTAACTTTCTATATTTTGGAAGTTTCTATATTTTGGAAGTAAGATGCACTTAATAGAATTTATGAGTCAGTATATTTCATTGGGCTGCTTCCTCCCTCTCTTCTTACCTTTCATCCTTTCTATGTTTGCCTGCTCACTAAGTCCCAAGTATAGTGCTAGGTGTAAACTACTACACTCCAGGAGATTACATTATAATGATAAGTGACTACATAAGTATGTACAAAGTAACCCAGGATCTCTTAAGTTTAAACATCATGTACCTGTTTCTCATGTATTTATCTTAACCTCTCAAGATTGTAAACTCCATGAGGACAGCAACTATAAACTGCCTGTCTCCTGCAGGGTCCAGTCATGAGACCCCACACAATAGTAAGTGCTTTGTAAATATTTGTTAAATTAAATTGGTTTGTGTGATCCAAAGGAAAAACTGAAAGGAAAAGGTTTTTAATTTTAATTACATTAAACTTATTTATTTCTTGCAGTTGCCCTTTGGCGGTATCATCCCTCTTTTATGAATGAAGACTCTTAGGCTCAGAGAGGTTATGTAATTTAATTAATAGTCCTGACTTGGAATCCAGGATTACCCACCTCTTAAGGCTTAGTTATTTCCTCCATACAGTATCCTTCTCAGCTATACAACAAAGTCTCAATAACAAAAGCCATTTATTCAGAAAGTGACCTATGCAGGTACGCAACAGCAGTCCTCATACAGGCGTCCCCCTGCCCCCTGCATTCACACATTCAAGCAAAGACGTTCTCTTGAATGGTATTAAAATAGTATTTAACTAGTACCATTCAATGAAATATCTGTTATCTACTCTTAAATTGAGGGTTTGTGTCTCTTCAAATTATGTGTACTGGTTACTTTGCGTGGTTATCATAGAGGCTTGTATACATTATTTTCCCATTATACTTAATTTATGTTATCTGTGGGAGGATTTACCACTTTTTATTTCATCTGTTTCTCCCCCCACTAGAGCTCTTCAGGATCAAGGCTTTGTCTTAACTTCAGCTCCTGTGCCTAATACATAGTACTTGCTGAACGAAATGCAAACGTTTAATAAAGTAAAAAACTTAGTCCCTCATTTTCTCCGTGATTAATTAGGGGGATCATGTAGAGAATCTTTTTTTTCCCCCCGAGTGCTGAATTAAAGTAACATTTACTAAAAGTAGTTTTACCTTTTTTGGTTATAAATATATTATATATAGTCATTGTAAAACATGATTGTGTTGTTTTCATGCCTATTAAGAACTTCCCCAAAGTATATAAAATTCTTCATAATTCCTTGTGAAACATGAGCTCAGCTGAGCATTTCATGTAATTCATGATAGAAATTTTGAAAGGTATAGAGAATAAAAGTAGGGTTAGGCCAGGGAAGAAGATACTCTGCTCTGTTCATTTTGTGACTTTGGTTGAAGTTTTTGGTGATGCTTGGCAATAGTAAAACCTGTTTTAGTGTGTTGTTAGTCAACAGTATACATGTAATGAACCTGATAAATCATGGGCGGATTGATCTCTGACTCTTCACTTCCAGCAGAGTTCATGTTGTATTCAAACATACAATAATGTTTATACTATGAAAAATCATTCCCCTAATGACTAACCTAGAACATTAAAAGAAAAGTGGACTGTTAGTTTGATAACTGAGCCTAAATTTCAATCACATTTTCCAATGAAGTTGTTAATTCTGATCTACATTAGGTTTGTTAGGAGAGGGGGATTATAACAAGCAAGTCATTGTGAAATGTTTTCATGATTAGCACATTTTGTGCTGGAAGGAAATAGGTGGGAGTAGT